CAAACTGAGTAATTATATCCCAAACTGAATAATGATATCCCAAACTGAGTAATTATATCCCCGAACTGAGTAATTATACTCCCAAACGGAGTAATTATATTCAAACTGAGTAATTATATTCCCAAAATGAGTAATTATATTCCCAAAATGAGTAATTATATTCCCAAAATGAGCAATTCCCAAACTGAGTAATTATACTCCCAAATGGAGTAATTATACTCTCAAACTGAGTAATTACATGCTCAAACAGAGAAATTATTCTCCCAAACGGAGCAATCATATTCACGAAATGAGTAATTATATTCCGAAAGTGAGTAATTATACTCAAACTGAGCAATTATATTCCCTAACTGAGTAATTATACTCCCAAATGGAGTAATTATACTCAAACTGAGTAATTATACTCCCAAACTGAGTAATTATATTCCCAAAATGAGTAATTATATTCCCAAACTGAGTAATTATGTTCCCAAAATGAGTAATTATATTCCCAAACTGAGTAATTATATTTCCAAACTGAGTAATTACATTCCCAAACCGAGTAATTATGTTCCCAACCTGAATAATTATATTCCCTAACTGAGTAATTATATTCCCAAACTGAGTAATTATATTCCCGAACGGAGTAATTATACTCAAACAGAGTAATTATATTACCAAACTGAGTAATTATATTCCCAAACTGAGTAATTATATTCCCGAAATGAGTAATTATATTCCCAAACTGAGAAATTCCCAAACTAACTAATTATATTCCCGAACTGAGTATTACACTTCCTGTGCTCCTGTAATTCGAAAGGCTTAAACAACATACTAAATGGTGTTTTTTTTTAAATCTAAAAATGCAGAAAGTTTCCTGTAAGGGGTAGGTTTAGGTGTAGGGCGATAGAAAATACAGTTTGTACAGTATAAAAATGATTAGGCCTATGGAGAGTCCCTGTAAACCACCAATTGCAACATGTGTATGTGTGTGCACTTGGATGGGTGAAATGCAGAGCACACATTCCGAGTATGGGACACCACACTTGGCCACACGTCACTTTCACTTTCACATATTTATGATTTAGATCATCATTATTAGCATTTCCCCAACCCCAGTTGGGGAAACTCTGGACTACTGTATCTATACATACCATAATAGTTATTGAAATTTCAATGAAAAACACTTTACAAATGAAATCATTGATTGCATTTGACTATTTTCTCTTTTTCTTTGGACCTTGATGGACTCAGATCAGTTCATCAGGTGGAAATCTGCTATATAGCGCAGTATAAACAGTGTTTTATAACACAAGAAGGACAGAACGGCTGTGTGTGTTTGTACCTGCTTCATATGTGGTGGCGTGTGCCGTCATACTCCACGTGCTGGACTTACGTCCTTTAGTCACCATGACGGAGAACTCGTACATGGTGTTGGGCTTCAGACCCGTGACGGTGTGACTGAGAGCTGTAGTATCAGCCGACTGAAACACAATCACACGTCATGAGGAGTAAAGAACTCGAGCACACAAACTCTCAATGATCACAGCACGGTGATTACTTTACATTCACAGTTATTTATCACTCTTCAGATTTCACAGCTCTTCAACAGACTTATCAGAACAGAGAAACATGAACTACTATATAAACGTGAGGCTGGTCGACTCAAGAACAAGATGATTCTTTAAAACGTCACATTTTCAAATGACTTCAGTTGCACCCGAGCTGTTGTCCTTAACTTAAACTAAACCCATAAACAATTGAAATAAAATATTCAACATATTTAATATTTTTAAAGATAAAAATAAACATTACCCGACATAACATTTCTGATACAACGTTTCTCATTTTCATTTAGTTGAAGTACTAAAACAACTAACACTACATAAATTTAATAAAAACTATTTACTTAAAAAAAAACTAATAAAAATGACAAAAAAATGCAAGCAAATTACTATAAATTTAACTAAACTTAAAATGAAACGAGAAAACATAAAAATAACATTTATTTCAATATATTAACAAAAACTATTAATAATTCAGTCATGCCAGGGTTATCATAAACTTTAAAAAAAATCATTACTTGAAATACAATAAACAATAAACAAAAAAAATTATTTTATTTTAGTTTCAACATTTCTTATTTTTGTTTAGTGTGCTTTATATAAAAAACACAACAAAGAAAAAATGAATAAAAATGACAAAAACACGCAACAAAATGACTAAAATTAAGATAAAAACAGAAAATATAAATTAAATCTAATTCAAAATATTAACAAAACTATAACTGTATATCAATTACACTAAAATAACTATACAGAGATATTAAGAAAACCCAAACTAATAAAAATGACAAAGAAAACGAGTAAATCTAAAATTAAAATTAAAACCGAAAATATAAAATTAAAATGTGTTAACAAAACTTTAATAGTACAAAAATGATAAAGACTAAAAAAATAAAAAGACTAATAAAAATGACAGAACACTTTAACTAAAATTATAATGAAATCAGAAAATATGAAAAAAATAAAATTGAATTCAAAATATTAAGAAAAACTACACCAGTATATCAATGATACTAAAATAACACATCTTGCATCTGTATGATGAGCGTCGAGCACATTCACACAAATAAGCGCTTTGAAGTCTGATCTGATTCACAGGGTAAATACAACGGTACGGACGAAATCCCATATTGGTTTACCATGGTATCCATGTGTTATTTGAGTGAAAAGCACTGGTATTGACCTTGTATTTGCCGCTGGTGGAGTGGCTGGTCTTCCACTTGACGGAGTAGTAGCGCACCTCTGAGGACTTCTGGTTCTTGGGAATGGAGTTATCGGCCCAGCTGACGCGCACCGAGTCGGACATGAGTGCCACGGCCTGCACACCTACAGGAGGAATCATGGGCGTGGACGTATCTGGGATAGGGGTAGGGAATTTATCAAACAGATGGAACAGATCGTCATCCGACGGGTCCGAGGGGTCTGTGTGGAGTCATGTTCATGCAGCAAATCATACGTGATCGCAGATGAGAGCGGACAGGACGGACCAGGAATAAAAGAGTGGAAAATGGAGTGACAGAGGAAAAAAGAGACACAAAGAAGAACATTGAGCTCTAGATAGTGACACAAACAGGTCAAGGTGAAAGTTAGAAGAACTACACTGTGAAAAGTGGTAACCTGCAGATATAGGTCATAAAAATTGATATGAATTCATGTATTTAGGTGGATTTAGCTACATAAAATTTAAATGAACAAATACATTAATAAACAAATGAATTAACTACTAAATGAAATAATTAAAAACAAACAAACAAAAAAAAAATAAATGAAATGAATTACTGATCAATAAATAAAAATAAATAAA